GACGAGTGGATTAATCGAATGATTCATTTAGAATGTTTTAAAAACTCACTACAGGAAACTTTTGAAGAATCTTTTAAATCTTTGGTCAAACAGATGAATGTTCTTTAAATTACTTTATCATTTGACCTTTATTGACCCGGGAAAATAACCATTAAGTTTAACAACCTTTTTTCAGTAGAGACTTGGTAAAAAAATAAAAAAAGAACATAAAATAGCAAATTAGGTAACCTTCGAAATAGTTACAATAATTAAATGAATAACTGTTCCAAATATATTGAGTGCTTTTATAAAAAAGTGTTTCGGGGTTTGAGAAGAATTATCTTAAATTGCTTTTCAAATAGAATTTCATACTTCCATATATATATATATATATATATATATATACAGAATCTATGGTAATATAAAACATGCAATACACTATATGCAATATATAGTACATAGCTATACTATATACACAATAGACTGTGCATTAAAGTAACGCAGGAAGTCTGGGGACGGTGCAGAACGGGGGTGTATATGTCCTTTATATAATTTACCATTACAAAATATTCTAATGAAACGTGACAAATGACACTATTGGAGTTTTTTCCTAAATGTGTGTCTCTTTTTAGATGCAGGGTCGGGTTTCCTGCATCAGAACATTTCCAGACCAGTGGAGGAGTGTGGTTCGTGCTGGAAGCTGCTGTTCTCTGTCTGTCCTGCTGTTTCTCTGCTCTCAGCTCTCTTCTCCTCACTGTTGGTCTACCTGCTTTGCCTGAAGAAAGGTGCTGAAGATGATTTTTGACATTAAGAATTGTGAAACCAATATTTTTATTTATTTATATTGAAATATCTTTTATACCTACAGCAAACAATGAAGCTGAAAATAAGAGATGTGACATTTCAAGGCAAACAGAAGGAGCTCAGGTAACAAACAACAGAACGGTTATTTTTGTTTTTGTTTTTTAAAAATAATCTCTGTGTTAAACTTTTTAATATGATGATGATTTTGAATATTACTTCCTAGGATGAAAATGTTTGTTATGCTGCCCTGGAAATCCATCCGCCATCACAAAGGACGAAGAGGAAGAGGACGATCCAAAGTTCAGATTTCAGTACATACTCTGCCATCAAGACATGAGGAGATTCATATTTAACACAGAAGTCTTATTTCAGCTTTGTCTTATTTCTATTTACATCTCTGTTCATCAGTGAAGCTCTTTTCAAACCAGCAATGACCTTTGCAGGCAGAGCTGCTTTTGCTGCATGTTTTTAATTAAATGTCTAACTTTCATTGTAGGCGTCTTGAGTTCCTCTCTGAGACAGCTTAGTCAAAAACAGCAGCGAAGCTCCGACACGCCGTACCGTACTACTCTAAACCTGGTTCTATATTTCAGTTTGCAGAAGCTCTAGTTACATTAAAATTAGTGTTGCACCGATGCCATTTTTTGGCCTCGATACCGATACCTGATACCTGGCTGTGCAGTATCGGCCAATACCGAAATTGATGTGTGTGTATATTTGAAGAACTGCATACTAGTTGGATGTAAAATAATTGCCATCATGGCTTTGTCAAGCTGCTGCCTACCTTTGTGAAGCAGGAAAAAGACAAAAACAAAGTGAATCCAGTAGAACGTTTTACCTGGAATGGGTGACAATAGTTGAATAAACTTTTGGCTCTCAAAATGGTATCGGTGACCGATACGATGCCACCATTTTAGCGCTGGATCGGGACCCTGCCCAATACTGGTATCTGTATCGGTGCAACACTAAATAAAATATACTTTCAAATATTCTCAGTGGCATTTATTCAACTCAAATGTTTCAGTAATGTAACATCAGATTTTGTGACCATTTTCTTTTACAACCAGCTCTGTACTGTTTATCTAGAAATAGAAGGTAAATCTAAACAATTACACGTTTTTATCTCTTTTGCATGTAATAATGTTTTTGTTCACTTGAGGCCATTCAAAAGAATGAGAAACCAAAAGGTTAATAGAAATCAGCTTTAAGGACATCTCTCCTATTTAAAAAGGTTTCTTCAGGTTTAGTTTCCAGCTGTAATATTTGAGACTCCAACAGTCATTAAAGTCATCAGGTGGGGGAACATCAACCAGGACAGGAAATATTGACAGTCTGTAATGTTATGCTCTCTGATGTCTTGGCCAGGTTTTGTTATCTATTAAATGTTATATATTTAATGTTCTCTATTAAATTTTTATCTCATTTAATCAGAAAATCCTTGTGTGGTCTCTAGTGATGGCTCCATTAACAAATTAATCAAACTTAAAAAAAATTGCCCCAAAGTTGAAACCATGCACAAAATATTTAACACGCTTTTGAATGGCGGCATCTGCTGGACAGTTATGAGAACTACATCTGAGCCTGTATCCAAATGTCCTCAATTATTTGTCACTGAACTCTTTTTTACATAATAACAGTAATTATAATGATTAAAGAAGATATTTATGCATATTTTTGTATTCCTGACATGTGAAATTTGTATGTGATTAACTTTTGTTGCATAACAGCTTGAATTAAGGCTTTTTCTTTTCTTTTTTTTTGTAGCGGATTGCTGTATAATAAAACCTTATAAAATCATACTTTAGGCAGTTTTTGACAGAATTTTAACAAAAATGTGGAAGGAGTGTGAGCTTCTGCAACTGAGATGGTGCTTGTGTTACTTTAATTTTAAAATAGTGAAGTTTTGTGCACTTTTGTTCGGTTTCAACAATTGTTATTAAAAAAAAGAATAATTTCCTCTGTGTCTGGCTTCAATCTGCTCCTCTTCTGTCTCACCTCTCCAGCTTTTTTTATACATACATTGTTTAGATTTACTTATATCTTTTTACCCCTTTTATCGAATAGAATAGAAAATCCCTTTATTGTCCCACAATGGGGAAATGTACAGCAGCAGTAAGATTATAGAAAATGGTCACACAAAATGTGGACCTTAGAAAAATGTATAATAATAAAATAATAGTGAAGAGTTCAAATATAAACAATAAAATCCTGTACTGTAAAGTGTTTTAACAATATACAGCTGGAGAACAAATAACCAATATACAGCTATGGACATTTCTGCAGTAATAGAGATGTGCAAAATGACAGCAGCATGTTATTTAACTAACTAAGGTTTCTATCATTACATTTGCTTTTNTTTGTTAAACTTTTTAAAATGATGATGATTCTGAATATTACTTCCTAGGATGAAAATGTTTGTTACGCTGCCCTGGAAATCCATCCGCCATCACAGAGGACAAAGAGGAAGAGGACGATCCAAAGTTCAGATTTCAGTACATACTCTGCCATCAAGACATGAGGAGATTCATATTTAACACAGAAATTAAACAGTAATAAAGGAGTCCTTAGAGTTTTATTTCCTTTTATTAACTTCCCTCCAAACTAAAGAAAAAAATGTTTAAACCCTCATCGTAACTCTTCTTTTCAGACAGCTTTGTCTTGGTGGTATTTACATCTCTGTTCATCAGTGAAGCTCTTTTCAGTCCAGCACTGACCTTTGCAGGCAGAGCTGCTGTTGCTGCTTGTTTTAAATTAAATGTCTAACTTTCATTGTAGACGTCTTCAGTGCCTCTCTGAGACAGCTTAGTCCAAAACAGCAGCGAACTTCCGACACGCCGTACCCTACTACTCTAAAACTGGTTCTATATTTCAGTTTGCAGAAGCTCTAGTTACATTAAAATTAGTGTTGCACCGATGCCTTTTTTTGGCCCAGAAATTGATACCTGATACCTGGCTGTGCAGCATCGGCCGATACCGACACCACACCGATACCATCTGTTTGAAATTGATGTGTGTGTATATGAAGAACTGCATACTACTAGGATGTAAAATAATTGCCATCATGGCTTTGTCAAGCTGCTGCCTACCTTTGTGAAGCAGGAAAAAGACTAATACAAAGTGAATCCAGTAGAACTTTTTACCTGGAATGGGTGACAATAGTTGAATAAACTTTTGGTTCTCAAAATGGTATCAGTCCCTATTTGTTGGTACTTGCTGATACTGATACCACCATTTTAGTGCTGGATCGGGACCCTGCCCAATACTGATATCGGTATCGGTGCAACACTAAATAAAATATACTTTCAAATATTCTCAGTGGCATTTATTCAACTCAAATTGAATTTGTAAAATTTTCAAATAATGTACCATCAGATTTTGTGACTATTTTCTTTTCCAACCAGCTCTGTGCTGTTTTTCTAGAAATATAAGGTAAATCTAAACAGTTACACATTTTAACTCTTTTGCATGTAATAATTTTTTTTGTTCACTTGAGGCCATTAAAAAGAGTGAAAAACCAAAAGGTTCATAGAAATCTGTTTGAAGGTCATCTTCTCTCCTATTTAAAAAAAGTTTCTTCAGGTTTAGTTTCCAGCTGTAATATTTGAGACTCCAACAGTCATTAAAGTCATCTGATAGGGGAACATCAACCAGGACAGGAAATATTGACAGTCTGTAATGTTATGCTCTCTGAAGTCTTGGCCAGGTTTTGTTATCTACTAAATGTTATATATTTAATGTTCTCTCTTAAATTTTATCTAATTCAATCAGAAAATCCTTGTGTGGTCTCTAGTGATGGCTCCATTAACAAATTAATCAAACTTAAAAAAATTGCCCCAAAGTTGAAACCATGCTCAAAATATTTAACACGCTTTTGAATGGCGGCATCTGCTGGACAGTTATGAGAACTACATCTGAGCCTGTATCCAAGTGTCCTCAACTATTTGTTACTGAACTCTCTTTTTTACATAATAACAGTATTGATAATGATTTAGGAAGATATTTATGTATATTTTTGTATTTCTGACATGTGAAATTTGTATGTGATTAACATCCCTTTTGTTGCATAACAGCTTGAGTTAAGGCTTCTTCTTTTCTTTTTTTTTAGTAGCAGATAGTTGTGTAATTATACCTTATAAAATCATACTTTAGGCAGTTTTTGACAGAATGTTGACAAGAATGTGGGAGGAGTGTGAGCTTCTGCAACTAGGATGGTGCTTGTGTTACTTATATTTTAAAATAGTGAAGGTTGTGCACTTTTGTTCGGTTTCAACAATTGTTATTCAAAAAAAGAATAATTTCCTCTGTGTCTGGCTTCAATCTGCTCCTCTTCTGTCTCACCTCTCCAGCTTTTTTTTATACATACATTGTTTAGATTTACTTATATTTTTTTACCCCTTTTATAGAATAGAATAGAAAATCCCTTTATTGTCCCACAATGGAGAAAAGTACAGCAGCAGTAAGATTATAGAAAATGGTCACACAAAATGTGGACCTTAGAAAAATGCATAAGAATAAAGTAATAGTGAAGAGTTCAAATATAAACAATAAAATACTGTAAAGTGTTTTAACAATATAAAACTGGAGGATAAATAACCAATATACAGCTATGGACATTTCTGCAGTAAT